GTGCATTGTAACGATCAAACCTTCTACTTAAGGTTATACATGGTGACAATTTTGGAATGGCCATTCATACTGAAAAAACATTGATCAGTAAACCTGATGGTCATAATTTATAATCTAAAGTAGAATCTGTGTTCCACTTTATAGGAGCCACATACACAACAAAATAGAAATTTTATTGAAAATTTTACGTTCTGTGGATGCTTTACTAATCTCTATCTATCTTGAGAACCCTATGTATATCCTAGCCCATTACAAAAGACAGTTCAGCTGCTCACTATACAATACGTATGCACATTGTATGCTATTTTCAATGGAAGATTGAGAATTTGTTCATCTCTGTTGTAGTGGGTTGATCACAAGCCCTGAAGGGGCAAGTGGTTCCATAATTGTTACAGTTGGTGTTTTAGTTTGTTGCATCCCATTTCAGATTATTTGAGTTCGTATTGTAGCAGAGACTAAGATGAAATTGTCATAAAACCAAGTTAACCAATACACATAATAGTATCGTATCATGATTAGTCTTCTTGATCGATGTTGGATTTGGCATCCATCATGGAAAGTCAATTTTTGGATTCATAATGGTTTTCTGGGATGGGACTTATCAGTTTGTGTGCCTTCTCTCTTTGTTGGAATATGTGGACAACTTATCCAATCATGCTATATGTAATAGCAACTACAGTAAATAAGCTTCATTTCCAAAAGAAAATTTGGTTGGCTTCTCCATTTGCACCACTAGAATGTCTATTGGAAGTTCCAATGCAATGAAATCCTATGCAACCATATTAGACCATATTGCTTTTGATCTAGCCCTCTTTTAACACGTTATTGTTCTTGTGAATGAGTGTTTCTTTTTAGGTCTGTGCAAGCATGTCTTCATTTTAATCCTTTTGAGCATGTGCATGCATCCATCTTATCAACCTCACTTTTGGGACTTCCATTTTGTTAACAACCATTTTTTCCCCATGCCGGTTATGCACGAATGGTTGCTGTTAAGGAATGAATAAGTTAGGAATCACATATATTAGGAAAACAAGTATATTAGGTAAGAGTATAATTGTGGTTTATTATGCTGGTGCACCAGTCAGCTAACTCTCATGTACAAGGTTGCCCATCCAAGGATAAAGGGGAAATTGTAAGTCAGCCTTGTCAAGATGCCTTAAGATGGACCAGAGGCTGTTCATCATAGTGTATGGTGCCATATGATGGACAGAAAATTTTCTGAGGCAGTGAATCATTTTCGTCCTTAATATTTGTGTACATTTTGTTTCTTATTCAAGAAAACCATATGTTATTATCCGTAACTAATAAAAAATCAAAAAACTGTTGTTCCAATGTTGGGGGTTGGGGGGGGGGGGGGGGTAGTTTTTATATTATCTGTTTGAGTTTGGCGGATAATTATTTATTGCAGTACTGAGTGCTCTCTCTTTGTTTCTGCCTGGTGATAGTATATAATTGTGAAGAAATATTTACATGTTCCAGGTTATAATTGCCACAAATATTGCAGAGACGAGTATAACGATAGATGATGTGGTATATGTGATAGATTGTGGTAAGCACAAGGAGAATCGTTATAATCCACAGAAGGTTTGTTCTAGCCTACATGGACTTACATTAGAAATAAGAGTATTTTTCTTTGTATGATGATTGTTCTTAACAAAGAAGCTCTTGGATTTTTTATTATTTGGTGGTTATTTTGTCATTAAGGGCTTAAAAAAAACTCCCTCAAGAAAAAGAGTTCTCTTCTTTTTTTTTTTGGTTTCTTCATGCTAGAAAATGGTCTTATCTGCATGGTGAATTTTCATTTTACTTAGTTATTGCAGAATATGATTGATATGCATCCTAATAACTTCTGTTCATAATTGGGTCTAATGAGATTTGAATGCCCTTTAATGTATTAAATGAGAATGAAAGTAAACTAACAACTAGAAGTGGATGCAACCACCTTTAATTTTCCAAAGATGAAAAATGTGTTCCTTTTATGCAGTTATAGCTTTTTAGAACTAAGGTTCCCCTTATTCTATTGAAAGGGCATGAAGTCTGTTCAGGTATTGGTCTATACAGTGCTCCATATTGACCTAGCACTGAACCTGAAATACTGTGGAGTGATTTTGTATTGTAAAAAATTTCAAGTGATAGTCCTTTGGCTGGTTTAACTTTTTACTTTCAGATTTATCAGCAGCCATGTCTAACAGGTAAACTAGGCTGAAACAGAAAAACTTTAATTAAGGGAGATAATAGAAAGCAGAAAACATAAACTTCAGGATGTACAATTCAATTGCTTGGCCTTTTGCAACAATGGTATCTTCTCTTTTAGGTTTCATTCATCCGCCCTTTCTGCACGTCTCATTTTGCAGCATTAAACATTATGTGTATTGCATAATAATACTTAAGACATGTGACTGTAAGCCACCTGTATCCACGTGTTTTAATTTGATTCTAATAGAAACTGTCAAGCATGGTTGAAGATTGGATATCTCAAGCAAATGCAAGGCAACGGCGAGGAAGAGCTGGACGTGTGAAGCCAGGAATCTGCTTTTGTTTGTATACATGCCACAGATATGAAAAGCTCATGCATCCATATCAGGTACATAGTGCCTCCCCAAATACAATTGATGAGTAAATAGATAGTCGTCTGCAATTTTATTTGCTTCATACCAACCTTATCTTTGGTACTTCAATCAATACATGTGGGCTGTCTAGATGCCTGAGATGATGCGGATGCCGTTGGTAGAGTTGTGTTTGCAAGTGAAGCTGCTTTCTCTTGGTGGCATAAAGCAATTTTTGTCTAAGGTGAGTTCTCTCATCTTTCACGGAAGGGTCTATGTGTTCGATCCGCATATCTTTTACACTTTGCTGTGAAGTTCAGTTTTTTATACGCAGGCATGCATCTTTTTTTTTGACTTGATTTCTATTCTGCATTTTTCCATTTTCAGGCCCTGGAACCTCCAAGAGAAGAGGCTATGGAATCGGCAATTTCTTCATTATACGAGGTACTTATCAAAAATTTTACTGAAGAGAGTCATCATATGATGTCAATTTTTGACTACTACCATAACGACTTGACCTTTATGCCCAAGTTGTTAATATCATATGTAGTGTTCGCTTTACGTGGGTATCTGTCTACTTACCTCCTCATTGTTTTCTATCGCGTCCCCCATAATTTGAACCCATGAGGGGGTAAGTTGGCAGATACCCATCCAAAGCGGACAATATGTATGACATAATAGTTCGAGCATAGAGGCAATTTAAGTCTCTTATTAGGCAGAGATATTGAGTTTGAATCCTGGGGAATCAATAGAAAGCCATGAGGGGGTAAGTAGGCAAGATGTCCATCCAAAGCGGACAATACGTATGAAATAATGATTTTAGCATAGAATCCTGGGTCGTTACAACAGTTGCATGTCAATAGAGTATTGTGCACAAAAGATGTAGTAATAATTTTGTTATTCTATCAATGTCAAGTTTTTCTATTTGTTCATAGAAAATTGATCAGGCCCCAATTCTGGTATGAATGCACTTTTATGACCTATTTTAATTATAACATTCCAACTAAGATTCTCTTTGACTCCCAACGAGGAATCTTTTGCTTGCTTTCAATAAATTATCTCAAAGCCAAATAATATGATTATGATATTTGCCATCTGCAAATCATGGTCGGAGTATATGAGTTTGCAGTATTTTGTCATGCTTGCATTTGGGTAACATGATTCAAATTATAGACTTATTTGAACTTTGTATATAGGTTGGTGCCATCGAGGGAGACGAAGAGTTGACACCTCTTGGATATCATTTGGCTAAACTTCCTGTCGATGTATTGATTGGAAAGGTATGCATCCTACATACGGTGACCTTTTTGCTATGGAGCCTAAATTGTTAAAGAACCTGATATTGAAGGCTTATAATTATCTTCAAAAGAAGCAACTTAAAAAATGGACAAGGTTCCTTTTTTCTAAACTCCAAAATAAGAGTTCCTTTAAGGCCATCTAGGTAATCGGTAAAAGGAAGTTTTCTCATGCCCATGATTGTTTTCTCTGTAAGATCATGAACCATCTGCTGTCCACTGTGAATCTTTTATGTTGGGGAACTGCTCTGAATTGGATCAACTACCTATGCGCACATAATGAGATGCTATGTATCAAGAAAATAAGTGTTCTAGGCATGGTTATGAAACTGGTGAACGGACTAAGTGGTCTGACAAGTAACTGGCTACTTGGGTAGCAAACCAGTCTGGATGACTCTATTGAACCAGATGTTAAATGAACCGGTCAAGAACTGTCAAATGTTACCATTTACAGAAAAATGAAGACCCAAAAAAAAGGCCCCATTATGTTAAACTTGTCGGTTCAACCAAATTCTTCCAAAACTCGCTTCAAACCAAGTTTTGGGCCTGGGGTCTCCATGATATATGCCCTCTAGTTCTCCTTTGCACCACTTTGAGTTGTTGAATATAATTCTCACTCCAATATATGTAAAAGTTAACCCTTCTTTGGCTACCATATAAAGAAATTTCAATAACAAAGCAAAAGAAAAATGCTCTGTTGTGGGTTAAAAAAAAATAAAAAATAAGGAGTCTCTTCTTGTGGTTTTTCTTTGTGTGACGCATGTGCTAGTGCTCTGTTGTGTGCTCGCATTGTGCCTTTGTCTATATGTTTATTGTTAACGACGGTAACACTTATTTTCAATTGCAGATGATGTTATATGGTGGAATATTTGGTTGTTTGTCACCAATTCTCACTATTTCAGCATTTTTGAGCTACAAGTCGCCATTTGTTTATCCAAAAGATGAGGTTCTTCCTATTTGGCTTTGTGAATTTATCATTGAGTTCTGCCACACAGATGAAATTACAAATACAATGTTATCTCCATATTGCAGAGGGAAAATGTTGAAAGAGCAAAGTTGGCCCTGGCGACCGATAAGATTGGTGATGCAACAGTTCAGATTGATGGTATACGGCAATCTGACCATCTTGTAATGATGATGGCATATCAGAAATGGGACAAGATTATTCATGAGGTTGGTCGATAAAGTCAAAGTTGAATAGATATTTTTACAAAACAGTTATCGGATTTTCTTTGATCAGCCCGACATTGTAGATTTTGATTGTTTTTCATCTTCATGGATATATGGTATCATGAAACTCTGCGTGCGTGAGCTAGGACCTATTGTTGTATCTGGATACATGCCATATTTATGATACAAGTGGTGTATGTGTAGCAGAGTTTATGTTGGTATCCTTTGTAGAATCATAATAATAGGTATAGGATATGAAAGAATATAAGAATTACTATTACTGAGAAATATGTACATAGGATATATCTAACACTGTAAAAGATGACCAGATTTTTGGCTAAAATCTACCAATTAAAATGCCTAGCAGCCTTTTTAAGTTTTTATTATTAATAATGGGACAAGTACAAAAAGAAACTACAAGATATGTAGAGAAAAATATAGGCAAAAGAGTTATTAGTAAGGTTTTACCTTGTACGCGAGTTTGCTGCTTGCACTCTACTCTGTTAAATAATGAACTGTATTGAGCCCAGGGATTCATAATTTTATCAACTCAAATTTACCTACCCCCCTGAAAATTTTGGCATTTGTTTTTTTTATATTAATGTTCATAACGTTAGCTTCTGGTCAAAGATTAAATGAGTTAAAATTTATCAAACTACTTTCATTTGACCCCACAATGTGTTATGAAGTAGAATAAATAAGCATTTTTATTATGTACACATTATAAACCTTCGTTTGGACCTAGCTAAAATGATCACTTAACAAAGCTCTGAATTGTGTTTGATCGCATCGTGGATGACTTGAATTTTATTTGAATTTGTTTAGAGACTATTCTAGTATAAATCGTGATACAAATTTTTCAAATGTATAATATAATTTTAACCTATTTGAAAACATGGGATATAAAACTTGATACATCAGGTTCTCAAGTTTTGTTATGACCACTTGGAGGCATATCACATATTGAAAGATACATTAATGCCTGGTATATGCAGTCTATGGCTATAATGTTTGATCCTTGGGAAAAGGGAGCGAAGCTTTGTGGCCAAACTTTTTGTTCTTGATAATATATAGACAAGACTGTTTTCATTTCTCTTCCCATTGGAATTTGGTCCAAAAAACCAACTTATGTCATTGAATATATACCCAAGTCAATAAAAGTACTTTTTTTCTGTTTTCACTATGTCATATATGACAAATCTTGAATAAAATTCAGTATTCTGATCTAGATATGTTGTCAGACTTATGACATATCTTCCACTCTGTCACCATGAATACTTTAGAACATGTATAGGACTGATGATACAGAGTCAAGGGTAGTTTAAGGTACAAAAATATAATTTTGCAACTCCAATGATTTGGTGTAGTTGACATTGAAAGGCAGTCGTGACGACTGGTGCTCGTAACAAACACCTGAAATATAGAAGAGAGAAGAGAAGAAGAAAAGGGAGAGGAAAGAGAAGATTCAGATAACAGACACGATGAAGAGAGAGAAAGGAGGCAGAGAACAATTGAGATTGAGGAATCTGTATTGTTCAATATGAATAGTCTTTCTAATACAATGCATAAACCCTTTTTGTATAGGGTTATGACTAGTCTAATAGAAGTAGGAACAAATACATAAAATACTAAAATATCTTTAAAAATAAAATTATCCGGTCCTATAATAAGTATCCAAACTTGATAAGTCTTCCACAAAATATGCATTGCAATCTCCATCAAGATCAAGTGGCTATTTAATTGGACTTCTCAAACAATACTTTTGAAATATTGTCTGGAGTGCTGAAAATATTGGATATTCCTCTCCAAAATACATTATAAGGGAATTTATAGAAAAAATGTTTATTGTCAGATCATAATTATTGGAATGAACGTTCTTGAAGATTTTTATTATGTGCCAAATAATATTAAGAATTTTAAGGTAAGTTACTAAGTATACTCCCTAGCTGGAGAAAAAAATAATAATTTTGGAGCTCTTGCATCACATCTGAATGAACTCGTCATGTTTAAACAATGAAGGTGGTTTGTTTTTTTTTTTTTTTTTGGCTAATTCTTGAATATTTTCTGAATAGCCATTAAAAAGGCCAAAAAAAAAAAGGGGGGGGGGG